CAAAACGAATGGAAACCCCACCCAACAGCCGCAGCAGCATCGACAACAGAAGCTTCTACTAAAACTGAAAATTTGAAATGATTGTTATACGCTTTGCTTCTGCTCCTCTGCTCTCCACTCCTCTGCACAAACACTTCGTTTACGTGAATGGCTGTTGGTCGGTCGGTCTATCTGTCTGCCTGAACGAGTGAACAGCTCATTCGTTCGTTTGCGGCGAGGAGAGGAAAATTAATAAAAATAAATTGAGTTGTCAAAAATGATATTCGAAATAAATTCCTTGGTGAGTAATCGTTTTGAGAGCCAACAAACAGTTCAAAGATATCCAAAAAATTTGTTCAGAAGTCTAAAGGATAAACAGGCGAATGGATGAATGGATGGTCGATTTGTGGGCTGAAGGCCTCCCATGCAACAACACACATCAGGCTTTGTGTGTTTGGACATAAAGGCACAGAGTTGCCACTGCGAACGATAACTTTCATACGAAATGCGCTAAAATGTGTGAGGATCAGCGCGGATTTTAGTTCGGAGGCAATATTTGACCATTTTCCTTTGAAAATCGGCTAGGGACGTTATAGGGACATGTCGAACGACTTTGTTCTCATAAAAACTTAAAAGAAACACTGTCGAAGCTACACTCGATTTTCGAAGAAAACAAGTTAAATAGTATCAGTCGGTTTTGTCGACAGCCTTGAGTAATGATTATTCTAACTGTTGACCCTTTATGGGGGAGGTTTCGAAGCAGTTAGCCTATATTGTCCAATTTGTATCTGACCTAATTCTGTTATAAATATTACAACGTGTCATATTTGGACTATATCGTCTTCATCCTATATTTAATATGTGCTTTTTTTTGGAAAAAGTGGAAATATGCATGAGGTACCAGACATAACGGACCGAAATATTCCACTTCATCTAATATAGATAGCAATATTGGTATGTGCAAAATTTGGAGGAAATGGAACATTTATAGCCAATTTTATGCGAAATCATAAATTTTGATAAATCACATGTTCATATCAGATTTCTAATTGAGAAAAATATTTAGATATAGCAAGTTGTAAAGAATCGCCGACTTGTTTCTCAAGATATGACAGATATAAGTATTGGAAAATGTGACCCTTTGTGGGTGAGATACCAGAAGGGTTTAGCAGATATCTATCAGATCTTGCGATAGTAAAAATAATGGCATGTGTGCAACTTTGACCCTTTGTTGGGGAAGTACCAGAAGATATAGTCCGATCTCTAACATCTCTAACATGTTCCAAGTCTGAATGGAATCGGATCTTAATTTCGCGTTTTATGAGCTTCCTGGACATTAAAATGTTTGTAGGGTAGGTAGCAGAAGGAGTAGATCGAAATGTTCCAAGTTCACAGTAGAAATAATGGGATGTATGAAATATGAAGAGAATCGGATGCTTATTTCGAATTTTTTGATCGTTTTTGTTATTCAAAACTTTGACCATTTGTGGGGAAGATACCAGAACGAATGGTCCGATCTGTACCATATTTATAACAGATCTTGTGTTGATGGTATGTGCCAAATCTGAATGGAATCCGATGTTAATTTCGTGTTTTATGAGCTTCATGAATATTAAAAATGTTGACCCTTTGTGGGAGAGGGACTTGATGGAGTGGACCGATATTGTCAGTTTTCGTACCCGACCTAGCACTGATGAAAATATTATGATTCGCAAAGTTGGGGCAAAATCTTATTATCCTTTCGCTTTCTGTGCAGTAAATCTTTTTCTCTGAAACGCCAAGACGAAACGGCTGGTGCTAAAATCTTGCACGAATGCCAGTCTTGTTGTGAACACGTCTGGTATGGCTGGAATTTTGTGAATTCGTACTAAAAGGGTACGAAAAGTACTAAAATAAAAACGGAAATGTACTAAAAATTGAAGATTGAATACGAAATGAGAGTCAATGATGGAGGGCAGGATAGGTGTACCATAGGGTACTAAACTTCTAAAATAGTACCATTTGATATTATGTGAACAGAGAGAGCTAAAAATCTTGAAACTTGGTATGAGAATCAAAGTTCGGTAGTAAGTTTGATATATGAAAGTGTTTTTGGAAATTTTAGCGAAGTGTGCGAGCTGTACTTAATTATACTAAAATTGGAACAGTTTGTTTTAGGCTCTTCGGATGAAGCTGGAATTTTGATATGTTGTATTGGGGTCCCTGTTGGTGGTAGGTTTGTGATAAAGAGGTGATTGTGGAAATGTGTCTCACAAGTGCAGGAAAAGTACTAAATAGTCCTACATTTGGTACAATTGGGTATTTGGTGAACAGATAGTGAAGTTTGGTATTAGGGTCGCTGTCTATGTTTTGTCTCGCATACGGAGGTGGTTTTGGAAATGTGTACATTTAGTGAAAAAGTACTAAATGGTACTATATTTGGTAATGGGTAAAGGGGTATAGACAAAATGTTGATATTTAGATTACAGATGGTATCTGTGTTTGAGATTAGGCGATGGATTGGAATTGCGTCTCATATTTGTACGAAAAGTACTAATTGGTATTAAATTTGGTATTGGATGAAGGGATAGGCCTGGAATCCTGAAATTAGATATTGAGGTCTCTGTTGGTATCTGGAATTGAGATATGGAGGTGGTTTTGAAAATGTGTACTATGTGTGGTTTGGGGTCAACAGGTTTGAAATTTGGGTCGCTGCTTGAAGAGTACTAAATAGTACTACATTTGGTATTGGGTGAAGGGATAGAGCTTGAATCCTGAAATTTCATATGGATATCACAGTTGGTATCACTGGTTGAGGGAAGGTCATGGTGTTGGATATGTGTACTAAATGGTACTAAATTTGGTAATTTACTTTGAGATATAAACCTTGACAAAGCCAATACACTTGTCTCCTATTTTTAGCTCAACTTTCGTAATCTCCTTCGGTTATCTTGTAATTATCGAAAAATTGATTATCGAATTGACGCAAGTCAAAATATATATTTAAATAGGCTGACAAAACCGGGTTTTACCTGAAAAGTTTAACGTACTGGCGTGAATGTACTTTTCCGGATAAAATGAAATTTATATTCAATTTGTCATTCCATTTAAAACGCCTTGAAATATTCATCGAAAATTCCATAAAGCCTTTACATTCCTCAGCAGTGTAAAATACCATGTCAACATAGGTATATCCGTTTGACCGCCCGCCGATTGATATGAAATTATTTATCTTTAATAGTGCCCTAAGTTTCATTTCTATTTTGGCAGGATATTTGCTATTGACAATGAAATATCCACGTTAACGTACCATGCAATGGTACCTCTTTGTTTTGGAGTTTCTTGCCAAAAATAACGAATCAAATCACCTGTAATTTGACCACCGCAAAACATTTCTAATGTAGGTCCTCCTTTTGTTTGTTTAAAGGCGTGGGTCCCAATTTCCAAGCAAATCAAATATTTCGGTTTATTTGGGGGTAGATTAACTCTTCTCAAAAAATATTCAATATAGATGTTCCCCCATATAAAGAAACTTATAAATTTTAAGGATTTTGGCCATAATTCAGCTTTTCACAGGTTGGAGGTAGGTTTCCACCCGGCCCCTCACATATGTTTACATTTCTAATATTAGTTAGAATTTCCGAAAACCAAACCCAGTCCCATTCGACCCTAACACCAATGCCAGTCACTTATCACTACGTTATAAATTAAACTTCTTGGAACCTGTGAATTTGAAGTGATGACATGTCATATAATGCCATGATATGTGGTACTTCAGACTTTGTAAAGTCCTTAAAAAAAAAAAAAAACAAAAAAAAAATCTCTCAACAAAAAAATGATTGTACATCATTAATGTGTCAAAATTGTTACAACAACGGACTTAGTTAGGGGTGGCTCGGACCCGGAATCCTCACCGAAATGTTAATGGATATGGATATAGTTCATATTTTGTTTTTTGGAACACTCCTTGTTTACATTTCTGGCTACGTCTTTAGGTACCCAAAAACTTTGTTTCATTTTTACGTCAAGTGCCGGCCTGTAAAAATCTTCAGTCACTTCTGATCGGTTCTCAAATTTGTTTTCAATTCCAGCATCTGAGTGGGCAACACTGTCTTCCCTAATAGCTAAAAATATAAATGTTTCGCTGTGGAAATCCAATTTTCAGTGAATCTCTCCCCCATTTATACAAAGTGAATAGCTTCTCTCTCTCACGTTTAGTTTCACATTCTCTCCGTAACAATGGTAACGGTAAATCTTTATATGAAAAGAACCTACACTACCAGTAGGAGAAACCTCCTGTGCCAAAGTGGGTAATAAAATAAAGTATACAGCTTTAGCCATAATAAAAATAAACGAATGATCCGAAGGGAACCAACCCAACAGCAGCAACAACAACAACAAAGACGACCATATAAGAAAAGCGGAGGTGGGGTTGTGTGGGGAGTGAGATTCAAGCACTCTCATTCACATCCTAATGGCAGCCATGCAGTCGGGGCAGCAAGCAGTTAAAGTAACTAACTTTACCTTCAACAAACCTCATTAACTTGAAGAGGAGAAAGGAAATTCAATTTTCTCAACGAAACGTGAAGAAAATTCACACAAAATGAGAAAATTGTCTTTTAATGAAGACATTTTGCACACAGACGGGCGCGCACACACACACACACAAGCACGCATGCAGAGCCACACTCGTTTGAGCCGGAATGTATTGGTGTTTGCAAATCCTGGGGGGAGGAGTGTATCAAAGGGTGGCTGGCAATCAACAGAAAACAGTTAAATTCAATCTATCACTTAGTTGAATAACTAAATAAAATGAGAGAGAGAGCGAGCGAGAGAGGAAGAGAGCCTTGGCAATTCTGCGCACTAAGGCAAATAACGGGAAATTTATTCTCTCTGCCACTCTCAAATGTCTAGCAAAAGGGGCGGGTTTTGCAAGTGCCAGGCATTTGGCTGGCTGTGTGGTGAGGCATGGCTGTGTTGTGTGTGGAAACCCCTCTTCGAGCCATAACAAAACATCAGTGTCGCCATTGTTTTTCCACAAGTCGAACGGTGGTGATGACTGTCGCCTGCAATTCGTTCTGCTGCCTGACCGAGCGACTGCCTGCCTTCTTGAATTGACTTCACACTTTCTCAATTGAAATAGCGCCGCGTGGTGGTACTGCATGGTGCGAATAAAACCGTTAGATCATTCGTTGTCTGGCTTTGCTTCGAAGTGCACGCGATTCTTGCGACTGAATTTGAAAAAAAAAAAAAAAATAATAAACGCTAATAAAACAAATCACAACGTGTTAGAAAAGCGTAACAAAATCCTGTTACAAAAAAAAACGACTTAATTGGTGACACTAATCCCATGTACGCTGTCAATGTAACGTGTAATCAAACAACAACAAAAATCGGAGATTTGTTAAACAAAAATAACAACAATAAATAAAAGTGAAAATTGCGGGAGAGAGAAAATCTCTACAAAAAGTGTGTTAAAATTCCCAAAAGCAAATCACATTAAAAATTAAAAGAATAGGTACTTCGTTAAACTCAACCCAAAATTTGTGCAAGTGAATCTCTGGCATCTTTGATTTTCCAGTGTTTCCTGCTCGCGTGTGTGTGTGTGCCTCTCTGTATCCAACATTTAACGCCACAAAGTTTGATAATCTAATTTGCTCTTTTATTTGAACTCACCTGTTCGAAAGCTCATAGAAGAGAACTCGCAGCGAAACTTCTTAAAGTGTATCACACATCTGGAACACACGATTTCAAGGATAATTAAACCCCAACAACTTCAAAAGCGCGTGTGTGTGAAAAATCAAAACTTTCTTTTAAAGAAACACAAAAACAACAATCAACTTCAACGAAAGTTAAAACGGAAAGTGTTTTGTCAGTGAAAATAGTTCGGAAAGACTTCAGTTACTCCAGCCTTTCACCAAGAACCACCAATTCTTCGTCTACTTCCCCAAGGACTTTAAATTTGTGCTGCAACGACGGCTGAGTTTCTTGACGAAACTCGCCAAACAATTACTGCCAAAATTTTCACAGACGGGAATAAGGTAAAGATTTGTTTTTTGATTATATATGAGTACCATAAAATCTCAAAAATTCGTACTTCTAAGAATTGGAAATTTTAATTATTTAAAAAAAAAAAAAAATAAATTTATGAAAGAAAAATTTATTTTTGAGGTTTGCCATTTTTAAAAAAAAGGCAGTAACGGGATCTTCTACTTGAAAATGACAATAATTTTCAGATCGCTTTGAAAATATAAACATAAAATTATAGATAATGATGGAGTCGGAATATGAAAATTCGCTGAATTTCAAAATATTGGAAATAAAAGAAATGTAGAAATTTGAGAACCTAAGTAAAAAAAAAAGATTTTAAATATAACATAAAATCCGACGGGAAAAACATATAACATATGTATAGATGGGTAATATCATGGCCAAACAGAAAAGTAGTTTTGCCCAAAGAAAATAGGAAAATGCAACTCTGTAGTAGAGTATACTATATACTATACTTCGGACTATAGAATGTACGCGCTTCCTTCGTTATGGAGTGGTGGCCCCCTTGGTCGGCAGGAGCGGGGAAATGTGGCGATGGGGATGGTCGAGAAAAGCCCTCAAAAATTTGTGTTGATTATTTTACAATTTTCCATAAATTTCTTAAATTGGAAAAAAAGCCTGAAAACTAACGTCGAAAATATAATTTTTTTGTCACAACTGAATTTTAAATTATTTACAAATATAAACGATCCCGTATTTTTATACCCTCAGTCATATGGCTACAGAGGGTATATATCATTTGATACGACCAAAACGTGCCTAGTCGAAATAACGGTTTTAGACCCTAGGTCTCTTTGGACCAACTCCGTTTCAGGACATTTGGAGTCGATCTAGCGATGTCCGTTCGTCTGTCTGTCTGGCTGGTGTGCACTCTCGAAGGGAGTATCCGATTTGATCCAAAGTTGGTACATCGTAATATTATTATCAAACTTAGATCGAGTTCGGAGATGGGCAATATCGGTCCACTCCTTCTGGTACCTCCCACTCAAAATGTCAAAAGTTTCAAAGAAAATAATTTATTGCACAGAAAGAGAAACGACAATCCGATTTTGCTCCAAATTTGCGAATACTAATATTTTCATCAGTGCTAGGTCAGGTACGAAAATGGAGAATATCAGTCCACCAATATCGTAGTACCAATATCGAGGTACTAGATGACCTCCCCCACAAAGGGTCAAAATTTTGAATAATTACAACTCTTATAAAATGTGATGTAAGAGTCCGACTGTCTTAAAAATTCACACATCCCAATAATTTCATTAACCCAAGGTCTGTTGTAAAAACGGAATGTGTCGATCCACTCCTTCTGGTACTTCCCCCACAAAAGCTTGAAATTTTCAAAAAAAAGGAAAATATTTTCTGCACAGAAAGAGAAGCTATAATCCGAATTTGTTCCAACTTTACAAATCCTTATACATATATGCGTCAGTTCTAAGTCAGGTGCGAAAATGGACAATATCGGTCCACTCCATCAGGTACCTCCCTCACAAAAGGTCAAAAATTTTAATATCCATTGAGCTCATAATATGCGATATGTTACAAAGACGGTATAGATCGAACCATTTCTTCTGGTACCTCCTCCACATAGCGTTCTAGATTTTTGAAAAGCAAAACGCGAAAGAAAGAATGCGAAAAAGGCATCCAAATCTCTTCAAATTTCACACATCCAAATATCTATGCTAACGCAAGATCAGTTGTGAAGATGATATATATCTGCCAACCCCTTCTGGTATCTCACCCACAGAGGGTAACAATTTTCAATACTTTTATCTGTCGACTTGTTTTGGCGATTTTTTAGAACTTGTTTTTAACCAGAAACCTGAGATGAATATAGAATTTAATTATTTAAAATTTAAATTGGACTTAAATGTTCGATTTTCTTGTAATTTTTCCCATACGAATATTTTGATCTGTATTAGATGAAGTATGAAAATGGAATACTTCGGTCGACTACATCTGGTACCTCACGCACATTTTACCATTTTCTAAAAATTATTCACATATCTCATATAAAGTGAAGGAAGTAACCAATATAGTCCAAACATGGCACGTCGCAATATTTATATCATATTTATTTAAGTCCGATATGAAATGGACAATATTGGCCCATTCCTTCCGAATCTACTCCATACAGCGTCAAACATTAAGTAATCGAACATTGGCTGAGGGTATAAATCTATCGGCAAAACCGACTGATAATTTTTAGCTGGTTTCCTCTTCAATTTGCTCACAAATTTAAATATATTTTCTGGTTCATGAAGAGATTTTAAGTAATCTAGTAAAAGTAGTATATTCTTGTATATCTTAGAAAGGTACAAAAATTTAACCAAAAAGTATACTACATTAGAGAGATGGGTTGGGTCAAGTCTACTAGGTTGATGAAACATCACGATAAACAAAGATTTGATAAATTGTAAATTTTCTAAAAAAAAAAAAAAAAGATTTCATCCATAGAGTTGGATTGACCACTTAGGTGACGAAGTTTTTCGGCAATTCACAAATCGTCCGGGCCGCAGAGTGCCACTTGCTTTCGTCTGGTCTCAGCAGAGTCTATTGGGGCTGTGTGTACGTTGAATAAAGACAACTAATCGTTTATTCTTCGTTACAAACCAAATAAAATTATTTTTAATATCCTCCACAAATTTTAAGAAACTTGAAAAATTACAAAATATTATCATTAAAAAATACCTCTAAAATCAAACCGCTTACATGGGGGTTATACGAAGACGTGTTGCTTTATAAGTAATTTGTTGTCATTAGTACCTATTCCGAACTTCAAAGACGAAATTTGAAACAATTTTGGGGAGTAATGCCGCTAAAATCATCAAAATACCGATTATCGGGAGGTATCGTTATTTTGGGACCAGACGAAGACGTAGACCTACATATGTAATTTTTGGCAACGAACTTCAAATATAAAATTTGAAGCAATTCCAGTAAAATCATCAAAATACCAAAAGACAGGCCGACAGACGGACATCGCTAAATCGTCTTGGAATTTTACTCTGATCAAGAATATATATACTTCCAGTATTTGTCAGTGCTCAAACCTGTACCAACAACAATGGATCCCTAAAGCGGCAAATCCGTCGAGATTTTCTATAAATTCGAATATTTTTATCTTTATTGGAGCTAATGTAAGAATCGAATATATGAGACCATAAATAAATAAATTAGGTCAGTAGTGAATATGGGAAATATTATCTTAATGATTCCGAAACAGCATTCGATCCCACAAGAATATGTGATCAATTTTTAACTTTTATAAAATGAAATATTTCTACCAACATTAGAGCTAATGTAGGTTAAGGTTATGTTAACCGCTATTCTTATCATTCGGTTTCAAAATTTTGATAGGTATATATTTCAAAACTCATAATTAGTCTCATGTACATACGTGACTATGAAAATAGGTATGTTAAATGTTATTTTTAAGGATAATAATTTTAACATTTTCGCAAAATAGCAAAAATTAGAATAGGAAATGAGGAGTTGAATGACTTTTTTTTGATAAATTGCATTGTTTAATGGTCAAAAATATGTTAACCGATAATCAAGTTCACCATCATTATATACTTATATCATACTTACCAACCCCTATAGCAATTGTTCCGCAAAATTATATCAGATATATTTTTTCCTGAAATTAAACAAACAAATGATTAAAATTTTAAGACAAACATACATTTGTTCAAATGTTGGGAACGAACAAAAATGCTCCGAAATCAAACATCATTACTAACTGCAACCAAATCAAATGGCCACCATTTTTTCCCGACTCCATCTCTAATTAAATTCCTCGATTAAGTTAATTAATTTTTGATTGATTTGCATGTTGGGTTATTAACCTAAAAAAACAACAATTTCGAATTTAGACCACACATTATGCTCGCCGTTTGATGGGGATGGTTGTTTGTCTGCCTGCCTCATCAATGCATTGGTTTTTCATTTCTAGAGGGGGTTTTATTCCCCCGTTTGACAGATTTAATCGCGACCCCTTTTTGCAAATATTCAGCAGCAACAACAAGAACAAAAAAACTGGTAGACAGTCGGCCAGCCAGCCACACATGTTGCATCAAATGTTTGTTGGCTGCCACAAATGCATAAAGACGACAACAACAAAAATAGTAGCAGCAGCATTTGACCAACCAACCATTGACTCGATCTACAATAAATTGAATACACTCCATTAGAGCTCCTCTCTCAATTAATTTGTGGTTTATCAATTTAATTTACTGCGTTTTTTTGTTGTTGCTGCTGTTGTTGGTGGCGCAGCTTTGATGACATCGCTGCTGATGAAAGGGCGGGGATCCACCCGTGTATGGCTACCATGGATGCAATAATAATTGTATCTATCCATCTATCGAGTGGCCGTATTCGGAAAGTTCCAAGCGAGCCAACCAGGGCCGATAGCCTGCTAACAGCTAAAAATGGGGGGTTTTGTCGGCAAATATGTGTGGTTCGCAGAAACCAAAAATGAAAAAAAAAAAAAAAAAAACGACAACAAAAACGGAATGAAAATTGAAAAGAATAAACGTTTGATTGCAAATAATTCAATATTGATTTCCAGCAATGGATGAGGCTATGGCTCCAAGGCTGATGCCGATGCCGATGCCGATGATGGCGGTGGAGACGAGATCTCGTTGCAAAATATTAATGGCGGTTTATCAATTTGATGATGCTGGGCATTCATATTTTATGGAGTTGGTAATGGTGGAGTTTGTATCGACTCTGAAGGAGGCCCATGGTTCGTTGCAGAAAATAAGGGGTCGGAGAGGATAGATTTACCAATTAGCTCAAATAGGGATAAAAAATATTTATAAAGTTTTAATTAACATCAATTAGGTAAATTTGCAAATTAATTAATGGGCTTGTCGTTTGCGGTTGCTGGATGTACCTTGGTATGCTGCGCTCCGTGGAGGGTTGTTGTTTACTGAATTGCTTTGTGAATAGGATCATTGGGATGTGTTGTGCTGGTATTTTAAAGGAA